GTTCAATCCAAGGCTTGGTCCATGCCATTCCTCGGGCTTCATATTGATCACCATAATGAGTTCCTTCTCCATTATTTGTGGGAAATTTAAGAGCGTAATGAAGAATTGAAACTGCTGCACGAAGTTTATACAAAGCAGTTCTTCCCACAATAGCATTATATTCATTCTTGATGTCCATCACCTTGAATGTTTCCATGATAACCTTCGCGGTTTATCCACGGACTCTGAACCGAATTGGCATAGTAATTTCACCAAACGTTGGTGTGATGCTTCCATTTAAACCTTGAACTTGGTCTTTACAAGGTTTAAGCTTGGCGGGATCAATCCCCATTTGTTCGAAAGTTCAGAGCATTAAGATACTGAAGTAAGCACCCGTATCCACCATTATTTTGTGGACAGGTATTCCACAGATTGGGGCAATTATAACAAATGGGTCAGAATTGGGTGCACAAAATAACTCGCGTCTTCTACATTGTAAGTGATAGGACAATTGTTCCGAGCATTGATTTTGTATCTGAGATCAGTTGTTAGAATGGATTTACCCGAGTTGTATGCTTGTCAGGAATAAGCCTTGGCCTGTCGACGCGATCCATTTGGTTTTCTATCGCTATTATTGATCTGTGGAATATTATTGTAAGTGGAATTCGGAGAATCAACTCTTTTCAACGTTTTGCTTTTCGTTGAAGATGAGGCTCTGTTTTCATCCGAGGTGAATGTAAAGACTTCTTTATCCTCTTGCCTTATTCTTTTCGGGTTTACAGGTCTATCGTCGTCTTCTTCGTCATCTGAGAACTCTTATGGTCTCCCCATTCTTTTGAAGTCGGAATTTTTGGCAAAGCGTTGGACTTGAGGATGTCCAATGAACCTTAACAAAGCATAGAGTAAACCGAGACATTCATCAGTATTATGCCCTGCCGACTTATGATATGAACAGTATTTGAACTTGTCAAGTTTTTCTTCGGGAGTTCTCACAGGTCGAGGCTTTGTAAGAATTCCTTTTCCTTTAAGTTCTTCAAAAATGGTTGCAGCTCCAGCCGAGTAAATTGTCTGATAACTTGTCCTTATGTAGTTCTCACAGGTCGGGGCTTTGGAAGAATTCCTTTTCCTTTAAGTTCTTCAAAAATGGTTGCAGCTCCAGCCGAGTAAATTGTCTGATAACTTGTCCTTATGTCATTAACATACTTGGCCTTGGCTTCTTTTGATTCAGGATCATTTGGATTTCCTTTTGAAGATCCTCCAAACCGGGATTTATTCTGTTTGTTCCCGAAGAATTTCTTCTTTTTGTTTTTTGTTTCCTGTCCCGACTCTGACTTATTGGAGGAGAAGTCAAAGTTTGGAACTGACACCGATTCTTCAGCGATAATGTGTTGCTGGGCCCGAGCTAAGAATTCTTGGAATGAGTTCGGTTTGTTCTGGCATATGGTCCAGCGGAACAAAGAGTTCGGTTTTAACCCTGCAATAGCAGTAACTAGCAACGTCTCTGGATGACATTGCTCCATATTTTGAACTCGTTCACTGAATCGTGCGATATAATCTTTCACACTTTCATCTTTTTTTTGCACAATGTTGGCAATTGATTCTTTCGGAATTAAAGATACTCGAGCCCATAGCCGACCTCTTTTGTTGCTACTTCCAAATTGAATGACGAGGTAAGGAGTGGTATCATTTTTGGGCCCGAGGTCCCAGAGTTGACGAGAACATACGACACCTCAGTGCATTAGTTTCTCCGTGGAGATCCATCCATGAAGTATATTGACCGAGGTGTGCATCTGGATCCGAGGTCCCATGATAGAGACCGATCTGTGGAACTTTAACTTTGCCAAACAATGGTTCTATAGTGAGTTGAGAGGCTAAAAGAGATTTTTCCTCCAGATAAACATTATCTTGGGTGGAGGCTCTTCGTGGAGATTCTTCATGGACTCTCTGTCGAGTTTCTAGTTTGGCAATTCTTTTGCTAGAGTTTCCAGTTCAACCGACTCGTTCCTAAGACGATTTCTTTTAAAGATATGGCGCAAGTCGGAATGTCTATCAGGTTTCGGTGTTGCCGGCGGTGGAGGTACCGGTGGTTGTCGATAATGTCCGGAATGACTTTCAGCAGTTATTTCTGGTATGTTGCCTTACGGTAAATTATTAACGACAAAAAAATCACAGTGACCTTGTTCAGGTACTTCTTCCCTTTGTCATGCTTGAGTTCGTGGCTGAGAAGTAGCATGAGAAGCATCTACATGCATGTTATGTTCTTGGACTGGCAGCTTTTGTTGCCTTATTGGATTACGGGAATAGGAACAGACGCTCCCGGCCTTGTTTGAGCCATAAAATCAGAAAGATTTCTGATAAACTCTGGATCATGAAATAAAACAGAGTAGTCAAGAGTCATAGATGGAGCAGTCGTTCTTCCAGTAAATTGAGCAGGAAAGCGACTGGTTCTCACTTTTTGATTCCTTTCTTGACGTCCAGAACTTGCCACGATGATGAGTTATGAAGTTTAATTGGCAGAGGTATGTGTTTTGTGTATAGGATATCAGAGATTAACCTCAAATAACTTATGAGGGCCTTCCTTCTAGCGTCAAACTGTTGTTGTATGAAATTTAACAACGAAAATAAACAGTAGCAAGGTGTAATTAAACTGAAATCAATGTAAATTTTTGTAGTATTGCTACATTTCAAGAGTACAGGAAGTCGGTTTTTGTATATAACCGAATTAATTTTGTTCATCAATGTACAATGTGCGTCCAAAGATCCCCGTACAATCATAAATTCTGCTATTTATAGTGCGGTGAGTTTGACTTTTCGTACGAGGCAGATAATATCGCATTTAATATTGAGTAGCTTCATTAAAGCGGTCTGCAGTGTAATGAGGGGACATCAATGATTACTATTTTGATAGGTGGCCCAATTAGGAATGTGCCTCGTCACCAGCTTTGGGATTCAGTCACCTCAGACCTCGGTTTAAGTGGATAACCTTCAAGGAAGAATATTCGCGAAGTCGGTTTACCACTTTAATCATCTCGGTTGTCGTTTTGTATGTGAAGTCGGTCGTCGCTTATTCTCACCGAAATGGACTAAATTTGTTGCGGGAACTTGAGCCGAAGTGAATATTCGAAGATAATATCAATAAATTTTCTTTTAATCTTGATAAATCAAGTCGGTTGTCAACAATAATGCGTACCCTAATTGGAATAGAGATGACTAATTTATATAGAGGTGATCTATACATCCATCAAATATCCACATTAATGACTCATATTTGTTTGATCATTAATCTATATATATCTATCTATTAATATATAAAGAGACAATGATATTTACTTGAAATAACAACTAAAAATCAGTAAAATAAAATATTTGGTTTCCCGCCTAAAAATTCAGATTTACTAAATTGGGTAATTTTTTTGGCTAAATTTAAAAAATCCCGCCTAAATTACTGTAATTAATGTACATAATCGTTTTGGTCAAAACTTGCAGCTATTACATTTATTAGTTACATGATATAAATTTGGAATATAATATATTGACAAAACTTGCAGCTACTACCTTTATTAGTTGCATGGTTTAAATTTAGTATATAATATAATATAAAAATAAAAAGATTTTTATTCAAAATTAAAAATCAAAGTATAATTATTCATAACTTACTGGTCAATATTAACTTAGACATAAACGAAATAGTCAATTATTTATAGATTAATAATTACTCGATAACTTATGGGTCAATATTAACTTAGACATAAACGAAATAGTCAATTATTTATAGTTTAATAAATTAATAAACTACTTAATTATTTTATTTGAATAGTTTATACAAAAATAAATTATTTTAAGTATTGAAACAATAAAAATTTTATATTTATTCTTATTATTCACATATGTTGTTAAATATATGTTAAAATTTTACCAAAATAACTATTTTATCGATAGTCAAATCGAATTCTGAACAAAAATTTTGAAATGACTCTTATTTTGCAATTATTATAATATAATTTATTAGCAGTTTTGTGCACTGCACGGGTTGTGTACTAATTTTAAATAGACAATTTTATGTAATTTTGCATAATTTAAACTTTATATTAACATTTTTAGGTAAACCGTATTACATAATTTTGCATAATTTATATTAATTTTATGTAATATAGGTAAACCGTATTACATATTGATTTCATATTTTTAATTTATATCAATAAGAATTTTTATTTTTAAATATTAATTAATATCTCTTACCCGTACTCTGCACAGGACTCATACTAATATTAAACTGAAGCAGCTGGAGTAACTTCTTTTCCCGCTCAAATCACTTTTATTGCTCATCATAAATTAGTCTAACATCCTGTCTGAAATTGAGAACTACAACAAACATTAATTCATGAAGTAAAATTGAATAACTCATAAGACATCAATAATTTGATTCATATATATACATTAAGAAGTTGGCGACAACAAATAACTATGGTAGCCTCAAAAGCAGTTAACATTCATTAAATATTTTACTTTTTGTAGTCTGCAAACAGAAACTAATGTTGGCGAAAATACAATTAACCTTTTTTATACATGTATAGATATTGAATGCAATCAACCATCAGTGATGCCACCATCAATCCAGTAACTTCTTTACTTATTTATTCTAGCCTTAAAATCAGTCAACATTCAAATTCCAATAACTACTTTACTTTTTCGTAGCCTGAACCTGCAAGCAAAATTTAAAATGCCAAATAATTATAGAATTAACCTTTTCGTTTCCTGTATATTGCAATCAACCATCAATTGCCAAGAGAAAAAAAAGTTGTATCTAATTAAAATTCTTATTAACAAACTAATAGTCCACATTCACTTTTTGAAATTCTCAACATATCTTAAAAAATCATTAATTGTATCTTCAATTTTTTTGAAGACAAAGAATCAATATGTTACTATATATATAATGAAGAAAATGGAAACAATAAACTACAAAGACTTTGAGTTTTACTAAAATACAATAACAAAATTGAAAAACAAGTCTCTCAAAAATGACACTTTTCAACATGATAAGCGAGCTCAAACCTAGAAACATGCACTGGGGATTGCGGGTTCGCTTAGTTCAATTGTACTCTGTCCCTCTATACTGGGGATTGCGTGTTCGCTTAGTTCGGTTGTACTCTGTCCCTATGTACAATGACAAGTCAAAGATTTCAACTTTGGAGTGTGTTTTCAATAACAGAACTTTAAGTCAATTTGCATTTGTTATACTTTATATATCAACTTTATCTTGAAAACATTCATTTTTCAAATGTAGGGGGATCGTATTCACGCCGCGGTGAATTACGAACAAGTTTCTACTTTCCTCACTATTTTGCAAGAAAATATGCTTTAAAAACTAGGACATTCATTATTGCTGAAAATAAAATGACCTACAAAACAACCACTGCTCCCTACCGAATTTTCTTTGTCCCGAGATCCAATATCTCTGAGTTCAAGGATGATAGCTTCCCTACAATGATCTATGACTTTATACCTTTTCAAAGACTTGTTGCAGCTGATTAGGTTGACGAAACCGTACTCATTAATATAATATTTTACACAAAGTCTTATATATTGTTGGTTATTGCATTTACTAATGAAAACTTAAAACCAGATGTTATTGGACGCCTTGCTGTGAGATACCCACCCCGCGAGGTTGATTATGGCGGACTACAAACAATCCTGATGGAAATACTTTTGGAGGATCATGAGTAAATAAATTATATTCCATTTAAACTTATATAAGTTTGCATTCAATTTCAAATTTTCATTTATATATTTTTTTATAGGGGAAACACAATGTCTTGCACGCTGTGGGGTGACTACGTTGACTACTTGATGAATCACTTGGCCAACACAAATGAGGAGGATAGTGTTGGGATCTGTGAGGATCTAGTTATGTACAAGTCACGAATTCAATAGCAAACGTAAACCTACGCACAACGGATCTAAAGGTTTGACGTAGAGAACTTACGGCTTAAAATTTATGTAGATCTGGTTGACCACGAACGGTTGACCGCAATTGATTGACCGCAAATCACGTCTTGGGTTGCACAAACAAGATCAGATCAAAACGAAGCTTTGCAGCCTGGGAGCTTCCGGTGGCGCGTAAGGGCGCGTGAGGCGTCGGACGGCTGCGATCTTGGCGGTGATGGAAATATCTCGTCAAGACGGTCGTCTGGGTATGCTGTACGTCTCAATCGGACTTCCGGTTAGTTCTGTAGGTCAAAATATATTTCGTCTCGGTTTACCTACAGATCTTCTACTGTATTACTCAATAGACCTTTCTTCAACTTGTACCAGTGGAGCAACAAGAAGAAGATAAAACTCGAATGAGATCTAGAGAGAGAGAGAGAGGCGTGGGGCGTGTCTCACGTTAGAATAGGATTCTCTCATCTTCTCATGAGCTTAATGATGTATATATAGAGCTACAGTAGGGACCCTTAGGAGATTAGAAAAAGGGCTCCTTAATTAATTAGACTAACTGTGGGCCAAGCCCACTCCTCTAATTAATTAAATAGTATTAATGGGCCACTAACATTATATTATTGCACTCCCTTTCCCTAGCCCAAATTACATTTGAGACTCCAATAATAATTACTCGATTTACCTCCCCATGTTTAAGATATAATGTCCATTAATTAATTCGATTACTGACAATCAAGAATTAATTAATTTATTATTATTTCACCGAAGCTAGCGCTCGTTCATCACATTCTTATTATGCCGGAACTTAATCCACCTGCAGGGTTTAGCATAACAATCCTTCATGAACTCACTCCGGGGACATCATCAAACTAATGCACATGGTGACCGTAAATATCCTAACAGCACATCCTATATATAATAATATTACCCAAAACAGTAGGAATATTAATCCAGCGAACTGAACCTCACCCATGTGAATCAAAGTAATATATTATATATATATCTGCCTGTTTAATATCTTACGGGTTAAGAGAACGCAGTAATTAACCGAGGCCTAGTTCATTTACGACGATCAGTATAAAATGAACTTCTCCTTTCTGGGATCCTGTTCAACACATAAATGTACTAGTGCAACTAATCGGTCAAGACAAACTGTACAGTTGACACTACAACCGTTCGAATGGAGTGTTCATGTCCATCTCGGTTGTGAACAACTATTCTTGTTCGCAAGTGACTTATAAAGTGATCTTCGGTTCGCCCGATGACGACCCACCCTATCTAAGTGCAGAACAACAGAACGTAGAACTTGTTTAATCTAACATGATTCTCATTCATAAAGGGTAAATGTGTAATAACATGCAAAGTCAATCTTTCAGTATATAACACTAACAGATAGTGTGTTCATTATTGTTCAAATGTGTCACCCAAAAAGTTCCAACGGCAAATTCGAGTGTCCAACACATTCAATGTTACCAAGCTTATCATAAATGGTGATTTTTTGGAAATAAATGAGTTCCGCAACAGGTAATGATGATTTATTTCTCATTCTTTAATTCACTGATTCAGCAAAACCAATGAATACTTAACCTCTCTATTTTAGGTTCAACATTCAAGGGAGAGTTGAGGTACAGATCACCAATATTTGTGAATGAAGATATGAACATTCTGCTACATTAGCAGAGGAACTTGAAAGCCCAAAGTCAGTTTTTAAGACTACAGACCAACTCCATGCAACTGAAGAAGTACTTCATCTCTTTCAAATTTTTTCACCTATTATCTAAACATAAAATTGACTAATAGTTAATTAATGTTAGGCCGGGAGCTACTGGGTCTGTGCGAGAAACATTCAGTTTGATTGTGGTCGACAATGGAGTTACATCGCATGTAATTGTTCATTCAAAATGTCTCCTACAAATGGGTTGTTTTATTGTTCTAGATGTGATAAGTTTCACGGGAAAGAACAAGTTACAATAAGTTTGATTTATACTTCTCTATAGAATTTTTTATATATAGGGTAAATAACTTTTTCCCATCTGAACTATCACGTTTTTGGCGCATCACCATATGAACTTTTTTTTTTTTTACACGGGTTTGTCAAAGTGTCCCCTAAACCGGAAATAAAAATGGTTTTGACTAAAAAAAGCTGATTTTTAAGGACAATTCAGGAATTTCGTAGATTTTTTTATTTAAAAAAGAAAAATGAAAAAAAGAAACAAAAGAATCCAGACCGGTGTGGAGAATCTGGACACGCAGGGTGATTGACACCTATCCCAACATAATTATCAAAAATATCAGCAGTTTTACATTTCTATACAATTCAAGAATTTGACTACACACAAAATCACAAACTAAAAAAATTCAAACCTTTAACCAATCACAACATGTTGGTCCTCGCTGGTAGCAGCCGAAAAAAGTTGAGTGCCGCTAGCGGCAACCTCCCCCGAAACGTCACCCACCACCGTGTGCACCAGTCCGGCCACGATCCTCAACTGATCATACCTCATCTGAACCAGCTCACCTGGTCGAACTTGAGGGTGTTGATGTGTGTGCCGCTGGTCGATAAGGAATGTTTCATGTCCTGTAAAAAACTAAGAAACAAAATACCCGACGTTGCTTCGCCAACCAAGCTTCTGCCACCGGTTGTTTGCTCGGACTCCACCTTTCGCTCTATCGGCTTTCACGTGTCTATCGCCGCCATCGTGCTCAAACTCTTGCTGCATGGACGAGGAAAAAATGGACTAAGGTTGCCGGTCGGAGATGGTCAAAGGTGCGGCTGACCCGTAGGGAGCTAGAGCGCAGAGGTTGAGGATGCCGGCAAGGACCTCCACCTGTCCGTCCTTGATCGTGAACTCCTTATGATCACCCCCGTGTCTGCACAACATTATAGAATTCGAGTAAAAGTCTAATTTTCCGGATTTAATTACGTTTTCCAGACAATTTTTGTAAAACGGTGAAAAACGAAAAGGAACTATTTGAGAATCGTTTTTCTCTCTCTTTTTTTTTTCGTTTCTTAAGGTTCATGCAAATTTTTTTGTCTGTATATGTAGAAACAATGTTAAAATGAAAGTGGTTATATGATTATTTACACAAATTTTGAGCTTAAAAAAAATCACCGCCGAAGATGAAGGAATTAAATCATGGATCCAACTACGGCACATAGTATCTGTTGAGCTTTTTCTGGCATGTGAAACCCTCCATTTGTTCTTCATTGTTTTCATTCTTCTTGTTCTTTTTTTTAAAAAGATATATGAAATTTCAAAAATGCCCTTAAAATCCCACTCTTTTTAATCAAAACCACTTTTATTTCCGGTTTAGGGGTACTTTGACAAACCCATATAGTTCAGGTGGTGGTTTGCAAAAAAAAAAAGTTCATATGGTGACGCGCCAAAAACGTGATAGTTCAGATGGGAAAAAGTTATTTACCCTTATATATATTATGTAATTATTTCTTTTGTTTAAATTCAGGTTCAAAATCCCTGTTACTGTGGCTGACCAAACATGAATTGCTATGTTTCTGCTTTGGGATAGGGAGACAACCGACTTGATTGGAAAAACAGCGAATAATTTGAAATCAAAAGCGGATTATGAAGCAGAAGCTAACGTTGTTCCTAAGGAAATTTTGAAGTTGGTTCATTTGAAGGATTTTCAAGGTAAAGGTTATCCAAAAATTGGGGAAACCTAAAAACAAAAGCCGACCTTTACCATTCTGAAGGCAACGGCTGATCCAGAACTTTTGGACAAGTACTATGGTGGACCACAAGAAAGTGGGAATTCAGACCTTTTATCCAAACTGAAGAGTGTGATTTTCAGCCCAATGAGGTTGTTAATGATTTTCTTTTCCTACCTTAAACTTTTTTTTATATGGAAGTAAACTTTTAATTTGATATTATATTTGTAGGATGATTCTGATGATGAAGTGAGTACTCCAATGAAAAAGTGAATACAACTTCAACTTCTATAGACGAGGCGAAGCTTTCAAGTGTAAATAAGAAGGCTTAGTGATGAATTATCTGCTTGTGGAAATGATAAGAAAATGAAGGGAATTATGAAGGAAGAAGAAAAATGAGAACAAAAGTAAGATATATGTAAGATTGGGGGATAATGGAAATATACCATGTTCCTTATTAAAATATGTGAGATTGGGGGACAATGGAAATATACCATGTTCCTTTTTAAAAATTAATAATAAATATTGAAGAGTTTTAATATTATTGTTATTTACTTCTTAATTCTTTTTTAATTTCTTCATGGGACTATATTTAACATCATAAGATGAATTGGAAATTCATAATTGGACCTATAAAACAAAGGTTCAACTCCCAAGATGATCATTTAACATGGTGCCATTTTGTTACCACCAGTCCACAGAAAAAGGCATGGTAACTCAATAGAAACTCATTCGGACACAATTCAATTTACATGATGTTAAAAACTAGAACTCCATATAACGTGGTCATATTAAAATATTAACTGTTCTGTTTTAAAATAATAAAAAGAAAAATAAGACAAAATTATAAGAATAGACGGAGAGAAGTAAACATTAGCTTACCAAATCAACAATTGCATCGTTGTAACGATCAAATAAGCATTCGATGACTTGCAAGCTTAGCTGCAAAGAATTTCAAGATTCGAAAAAGATTTATTTAAAAGATGGTTAAAATGATAGGCGAACTTATCAGTGTCACTTGAATCGTACCAAGTTTTTACCTTCCTCTCATATCCAGCCATGGACTGCAGCCTATGATTTTCTAGAAAAGAGTGAGTAACTTCCAGCACATCATGATTAGTAAGTATTCCAACATCACTTTTTCTCCTTAGGAAGGCCAAGCAACCAACAAGAGCACCACGTAATGCTTTCCAATTTGCCTGATATACATAAAAATACATAAACTACTACCCGACTTTAATAACTATATAAATAGAACCCTTGTGTATAAACTAAAGAATATCAAAGGGAATATTGTTAGAAACAAAAGCAATAATAAAGTAAAATAACTAAATTACACAGGAATAAACGAAAATTTAGCAGCTCGATCAAGGTTGTTCCTATCTTTGTTCATAAGGGTTGTATGGCTAATAGGTAACATTATTTTTTACAATGAAACAAGAATTTCTATCTTGCCAGAAATATATGTATTCACAGGAGATTTATTTACAGGGCCTGTGACTTATTAGAAAGGCCATATTTGTTTTTCTCTCTTAAAGAAAATTACACCATTCATTTATAAAACAGAAAAAAGATAAGATAACCTGCCGAGAAAGGCGAAAAGGATGACAAACAGAGTAAACAATCGTGTATAACAAACCAAACTAAAAAAGCATAACTCATTCTGATTTTTTTCTCTTTCAATACCTTTTTCTTTTACATTGTCTCAAGGCTCAAGCCAAACATATAGCAAAACCAAAACCTTACAAGAATTTTGACCACTCCACAACAAAACCAAGGATGAAAAACCCAAATTCTAAACACATACAAAGAGCAATAGCAATCAACAAAACCGGGGATTTATTAACCTCCTAATAGAAAAATCATCCAACCAAACCACAACTAATAATAAGTCAGCTCCTTAATTTACTAGCTAGCAGTACAACTTCTAAATACCTTATTTCAAGTGTTTTTCTTTTCTTTTTTCGAAGACTAGTACCGTTGGATTTAATCAGCGACACTGTACAAGTACCAAATACTTTCTATACACAGCCAACAGCAAGCCAATGCAAAAGCATGATATAATAGTGAGCCATCTCAAGTTACCTTCTTTATGGGCTCAACGAAGAAGCTTCCCGTCTTAGTTCTCTCAAGTACCCAAGAAGACTTTCAGCTTGAAAAAATTAAACAAGTAACATTCATCGAAAACAACATAATGCCATGAACAAGAAGTTCAATGAGGTTTTTTTTTATGAAAAAAAAAGGTTGAAGCATTTAAATCTCATAGAAACAAGATACAACCAGAATATCCTAGCCCATCATGATTGAAAAATAAGAAGAAAACACCACCACATTAGTGATTATTCCTCTAAACTAAGCACTAAATCTCATAGAAACCTGTATTTAGTCATGGACAGTTATATGTTGTTGTTTCTAGAGTAACGAATCCCAATGGTCTAAAAATTGTTATTTGTTATGGTGATAGTGATAATGAGCCAAGATAGTATTATCAAAAGGAAACTAAATCTTTTTCGCCCAAATTCCTCTCGCTCAGAAAACTTAATCACCGGTTGCTCCTCTTTTCGCCGCCAATTCGCCTTCCTAGGCGACGACGAGGCCCTGGCCAGCGGTCTCCTTTGACCGCTCGGCCCGTCCTGGATGCCTCGCGCCCTGTGTTGCTGTAGTTTTCCGTGTGGCCTACCCTTCGGTCGTCGGTGGATTTGCAATTGGATGTGGCATTCCCTTGATCGGAGATCTGACGGTGTTTGGTGGTCCCTTCTCGAACACCAGTGGCTCGTCATTTGGTGGAGGTAAGCCCCTCTCTCAACGTTCCGTCTGTGTTAGAAGTTCCCATCGGACTGCTTTGCTTCTCAGGTGGGGCGTTCGGTGGGGTTTGGTGGATGGTTGCCGGTATTCTTCGGTAGCCTTAGGTGGTGAGTGGGTTAGCGGGTGTGTCGAGACTCAGGCGGCTAAGGCATCCTACGTCAGGGTTGTCGGAGTTGCAGGAACCGGCATCTCTCACTACCTCCGGTTCTCTGGTGTTGGGGACTGGGTGGATCCGGAGCTTCCGAGCTGGGCAAGTGGTGTTAGACGAGGTCGGATAGTGCCGGAGTGGGGAGCTGGTCTTGTTCTCTCGGTTGGAGGTGGGTCGATTTGAGATGGGTTCGGGGCTCGAGTTCGGCTTCCGTATAGGCGATTTCGCAGTTCCTCGGGCTTGGGATCTTCTTGGGTCGATTGTTTCTCTGCTGGTTTGGGCTCGTTAGTTGGCTAAGGAAGGGCCTAATCTATCGTATTATAGTTGTTTGGATACAAAACTTATCCAAAAAATCCAAACATTTTTAACTCAACCATTTTTTTAACTCAACTTTAACTCAACTCAATTATCATTAATATTATTAAATAATATCAACCAATCATTCTTACACATCACATCAACCTTACTTCACTATTCATCCACTCACATAATTTTAACTAACCATCACTTCAAATCATCTCTCTCATACTTATACATCAAATCAACTTTAATTATTTTATTTTAAATATTATTTTAATATACCCACTAACAACTAATCATACCACTTTTTTCAAAATTAACCAAACCAAACCAAAAAATCCAAACAAATCCAAAAATTTTTATATCCAAGCATCCTCTTAGTTTTCGTTTGCTTGAGTTTGCGTTAGTGTTGTTCTTTGGTCTTGTATTTTTGGTTTGGGCCATTTGGTCTATGTGAGTCCGAGTGTAAACTTATTATCCTGTTGGGATTCTACGCTCGGACATTATCATGTTGGGATCTTTTTAGTTGTTTTAGTTTTTGTTTGTGTTAGGTGTTTCGTGTAGTTGCGAGTTTGTCTTTCTAGCGTTGCTAACAGGCTCTAGGTGATCTTCGGATCTGCCTCCCAGTCTTTTCAGCCTTTGATTATACTGTTCAGCTTTTGACTGTTTTCTCTTCGCACTTTGTGCGGTTTTTATTAATATAATATCTCTATCGTTTCGAAAGAAAAAAAAGATAGTGATAATGAGCCAAGTTCTTAGAGCATCTCAAATGGTCAAATATTGTTGTGGTAAATTACATTCCACATCAACATATTTAATAAATTCACCATTTTTTTTATCTTCAATGTACAATGTGATCACCAATGTTGTGATGATGTGGACATAATTAATGTCTACAATGTAGAGAAGAATGTGGTTCATCCACATTCTCTTCTACACTCTAGCTAACCAATGAAAAAAAAAAGAGAGAAATATTCTTACCAATTATAAGCAATCTAATTATTTAATTAATTTAGTTCTTCTTTTTAATTTTTTTAGTATTTGATAAGTATATAATATTATAGTTAGACTATATTGTGCATTGGAGAGAATATTTTAGTTTCATAGTTGTAGACTTAACATTTTTCATACATGATTCACAATCCATTTAATTTATTGACATTTGGCAAAATTTATATTACTACAACATTAGAGCATTGGAGATGCTCTTATACTACTAATGTTGTTGTATTTAAGGAAGTGTTCTAAAATGTGTAATAGAAAAATTATTTTACTTTCTTATTTTATATGCACGCTCTTTTACATGTTTTTTTTATTTTTT